GTTAGACTATAACATATAAAAATTTTAGTCCCAATTATTATGTACACTTTTGAGCAATTAATAAAGTTAGGGTGGCCAATACTTTTGTCCAGGTAGTGTACCTTCAGACTGTGAATACTTACAGAAGTAGAGACTGTGAATACTTACAGAAGTGGACGTCACAATAATGTCTCTCAAGAGTCACAGGCAATATGAAAGAGAACTTTGTTCTCTGCCCAGGTTGTCCTTTCTCTGCTTTGTCTTGTCTGTCGATATTGTATAAAATTGAAATAGCAGGAGTATTAAATAATGTGTAGGAAAGAGGGTTTATGTTCCCTTTAAGTGCAGAATCTGAGTTGCACATTTGGAGTTGACAACAAGAGGTGTTATCACAATCAACGACCTTGAGCAACACTTTGTACATTTATGCCAAATCAGAGAAACATGCAGATGCTTGGAATTTTGCATTCTTTATTTGTTTACACCTATGATTGAATGCTAAAGGTGTAGCATGCAGATGCTTGGCATACATGCTGCAATCATAGATGACTGTGTAATGTGTTACTGCAGAGCATGACAGTGCACACAATCAATGACATCAACTATGATGATACCAGAATAAGAGCTTTTCTTACAAATCATAGTCGACACCTATTCTACATGTTGAATTCATGCTAGATGATTTGATGATGGTCATTCAATATGCAGAGTATGCCATACCACAACTGATAGACAAACATGTAGGTACATATGCTTAACAAGTTTTGGCAACGACAAAGAATTGAAGTCTTATTTCACATGAGAGACATTGAATAAACAATAAGGAACAGAATTCATTATGCACGATCAGAAGTGAAGGAAAAACATGCTGGCTGATACACCCAATTATGCATTTGCTGGAATAGCATATATAATGACATGAGAATACTCAGGTTTTGCACAAAGCGAACATAAGACTAGAGCCCTGCATAAGACATAACAAATAAATGCAAGCCTCTCCACATATATGTTTTCATGTCTCAGTTAACTGTCCACATGTTATTGTCAGGTCTACCAAAAAAATCCTCAGGCTGTCTGTCTTCTTTTGTGCTTGAATGTCTCTTCAAAGAATGCTTTGGCACTTAGACTAGACAGGAAGTCAGGCTCAGGAATTGGTGCTGGAAATACAATGGTGGAGACTGATCTGACAACAGAGTGAGAGAAGAATTGTGGTGAGCATAGTTGTGTAGTGAGAGATAAGTGGGTAGGATGACAGCATATAAGAATATGGAGGTGGATTTGATCTATGACTTCCAATGCCATTCAAATAATCTCTAATCTGTCCTTCTTTTGTAGCCAGGATGCTCCAACTCTTTTCTTCTTTAGTTGGGGAACATGGCCCCCAATTGTTTCTTTGATTACTTGAGTATAAATTGATGACAAAGTGTATTTATTGCATCATTAAATTATAATAAATAATAAGTATATAAACATATGATAGTTGGTCATTGGATTATTAATAGTATTTCATTGCTTACTTGGTATTGATGCAAGAAGGTCAAATTATTGGTTATGCAAATTTCATAATTATCAACACACTCTTCTGTGCAGATTGTTACTGTAAGTTGCAAAGCAGCAATTGTTTGCTTCAGATGAATATCATCTAATATCAATACAATTTGCAATAGATATTAACAGCAGGCAATTATTTACAGTACATCACTCAAAATAGAGGATTCTCATTGGAACATATTGGCCTTGAGCCACATAATCAAATTTGGTACTTGTCTCACTAAAACTCGAGCCACAATTACTTAATTTGTAATTAGTACTACAATATGATTGTCTGCTATGCTGGAAATATGTCATTTTGAATTAAAAAGTATTCATGTCATCTATATTTATGTAACATCTCAGCTAGGCACATTTCAAAATTAGGCAGAGCATTACAGTACAGCTGAAATGTGTTATTTGAACAATGCCATATTTAAGATGAAATCTATGAAAACATTACAGTATGGCTGAAATGTGTTACTTTTATGCTATATAGATCCATCTCAGATGCTGAATGCTGACATTTGTCAGATTTAGTGCTGGCAGTTTTGGACTACTTCTACCTGTGAATCTCAGCATTAAAAGGGCTAGCAGGGTCATATTCAGGGACCATGTCCATGTTGTTTTGTTCAGGGGTTATTGGTCTGGTAATTTGCAAGGGGTTATGGTGGTACCCTGGTATTCAGATTGAGTTGCTGTGTTCAGTTCTGTTTCCTTTTCTGGAATCTCTTTGTGTTCAGGGGCTCCCTGTAGTATGATGTTTGCATCTTTTTGTTTAGGGTTAGGTGGCTTGTTTCACACGTCTTGGACAATTCTTCTGGATATGTCCTATTGTGAGACATTGCAGACAAGTTGGGGGAGCCAGACCATGATAGCAGGACCTTTTGGCTCAATTTCGATGATGGATGGGAGGCTGTGGTTGAGGTTGACATCAGGGATTGCCCTGGCAAGCATTTCCTATTTGGTTGTGATGAGTTTAGACCCTTTTAGTATTACAGGTGCAATTTCCACTGGTGCACAGGTTGATTGTTTCTGTGAGAAACTTTCTACTTCTGATAGGAACATTGCCAAGTTTGATGAGGGTGAGAGGTGGTAATTTCCCTTTGGGTGAGATGATGGGGATATTGAAATGTCCCACATCAAAACTGCCTTGTTCAATGCATTCTGTTTGTCATCGAAAAAAATTTGGATGAATATTATATCCACTCTAAATTTAGTCCCCACAGCTTCCTCTGGGAGAGCTTCAAAGATATGTCTGCTGTCAAGGTCTTCTGGTATTTTTTGTAGGTCCAGGAAGGCTGAGGTAGGTGTCAGCAGTTTTCTTCGCAAGGCAGCTGTGCTCCCTCACTGTGACAATAGAGCTTTGTAGTGTCGATGCTTAGTGATGAGGCCACCAACTTAGCCAACTTTATTATACTACTTAAGTATACAGTATCTTTTAAATTTTGTCCCTAATTCTTTCTTGCTAGACAAATGATTTTGCATTGACTATTATTATTGTAGAAGTGATTGCGATAAGCACCAAATTCATCAGCATACAGGTCTATAAAAAATTTTAGAACTGGGAACCCTGGCAGTGCTACAATTGAGGGTACATATTCAGCAGGTAATTGGTGTCTTTGAGAAAGTGGTCAAATTTTCCATGAGTTGTGAATTTTATAAATAATTTCTCCAACTTCATATTTGTATTCAATAGGTTGTGTGCTGTCTTTAAACCAAACAGGCACAGTTGACTTGTATCTAAACAAGGAGATGCCATTGTAAGTTGTTGAGAAATTTCTTCAGTTAGAATTGGTAACTGATTACTCCGATACATTGTGTCAATCATATGAAATCATTCAATTATTGACAATGCAAACAGTGATGGCTCATATGGGTAAGCATGTGATATAAAGTTATATATAACAAGGTAGAAGGATAACTGATAAATGACTTATTTACACAGTTCATGTTCTTTGTAATATATGAGATTATTCGTTGAGGTAAATCCAAGCCAGTTGACTTTGAGTCTCTTTCCAAACAACTTAATGTTTCCTAAAGCTTATTCATAAAATCTCAATTTATAGTTTATGCTAATTTGCATTAGGTATCAACCAGATGGCTGCTCTTTTCCTGCGAGAGATTACAGAAGACAATGATAAGATAATCAAACCAGCCACATAGGAATCACTGAACATTTATGAATTACTCACAAGAACTACAAATGTGGGATTAACATTTGGAAATTGCTTGTGATTATTAGGGATATAATTTTTGCCAACATTCAACTTCATGGAAAAAAAACCATCTGTGTAGATGTGACTGATATATCATGTGATTTATATTTATGAAACTGTAATTTATTTATTAGTAGGACAATGTGCAAACAACAATTATTATCATAACCTGGACTGAGTTCACTCAAGATGAACATGTTATATAAACATACTTTACAGAAACCTGTAGTTTTTATAAATCTCTCTGTGACATCAGAATAAGATCACCACTATCTAACAGGCATCATGTAATGAGATTGCCATGAGAATTCTAATTTTAGTATATCATGAAGATGTGCCCATGAGATTTCGGGGATGCATGGAAATTTTATGAAATTGAACAATCTAGCAGAATCTCATGACAAGATTGCCAGGATACTAATAGAAATTTAGCAATTTTTGGTGACATTATGACGAGATGTTTGCAATATTTTCTGATTGTAAATGTCACGTGGTTATCAGCACAATGTCCTGCAAATCTCATTGAGATATTTTTAAAAAATGCAAGTTTCTGTAAAGTAAGTTTTCATAACTAATTATAATATTAATATGATCCTGATTTTGAAAGTAATATCAATCAATAAATTTATTGGATTTATAATTGGCGAGTTTATAGAGCCCAATGATTATATCAAGTTTTTTTTTCACCATCAGTACAATAGCTTACTTTTGAAAAGAACAATCAAATGTCATTACAGATCAAAATGATATCTTTAGTAGCTGGCAAGATGCTTGACATTGTAAAAATGCAATTGAACTTTTTGTTATGATACCAATACAATAGCTAGTACTAATCATTACATCTCTAACATCTGACAACATTACTGATGTCACTATTACTATGATACCTAGTACTGATCATCATGGGCTCTCTAAGATCTGACAACTGTCTCATTCATATTTAACTATCATACATTACTGATGTCACTATGATATCTTTGTGAGATGCAAATGATATTTTTATGAAAACCCACCAGCTGAGAGAACTCAATGAGAAGATTGTTGACATATTGTAAAGAGTATACCATTGTATTGTTAATATTAAGACATCATTACAATATCAACATAATAGCTCGTACTGCACTCGTTACAACTTCTGTAATAGTCCTGCAACTGACTTGTACTTGTACCAAGATTATTTATTGTATTATGATGAGTATAGCTATCTTATCATTGTGATATAATTGGAAAATACAACTTTCTGTAAAGTATCTATTATAATCTTAAAAAACTGAATAAAAAAGGGGATAATTCAAGAAAATTAGCAAGTGGTCACCCCAAGAAAGTTACTGCACATGAATCAAGAGCAATAGCTCAATACCTTGCACCATAATCCAAGACTGTCTACAAGAGATTTGGCGATTAAATTGACAAACAATGTCACAAAGGTGTCCCATATGACAGTTTCAAGACATTTAACAAGATTGGGTTATAAAAAATAGTCTGCCTCTAAAGATGCCTATGCTTACTGTTGCTCATAAAGAAGCTCATGTTAGTTGGGCAACCAGACACCTTGATGACAATTGGGACACCACATTGTTTTCTGATGAAACTGCTTTTCAGTTATTCAGAAACACAATAACTCAATGGTATAAGGGCAAATAACCAGTCAAACAGATTTCTAAAGATTGCACTAAAATCTTTGCATGGGGAGGACAGGAAAACTTCTCTATTTTGTTTTAGAAATATTATGAATGCGAATTTTTATGTTAATATTTTGCAAAGTCATAAGCAAGAAATTGACAAACTTTTTAGAAACAATTGGCACTTCCAGCAAGACAATGACCCAAAGTATACAGGTTATGTTGCTCAGGCATTTTTAAGTGAAAACTTTCTGGAAGTTATGGAATGGCCCTCCAACAATCCAGACCTAAACCCAATTGAAAATCTTTGGGCAATTGTTAAAAATGTGCACACCTAAAAATCTTTCAGAATTAGAGCAGTATATGGCTGAAGAATGGGATAGAATTCCAAATAGTATTCTAATTAACTGTATCAGATCAATGAGACAGAGATGTGAGATGATAATAGAAAACAATGGGGAAAGGATAAATTATTAATTTTATATCAATAAAAACTTTAGGTTTTGGGCTTTATTTTAATATCTTCTTTGTTAAGTTTTGTGTTGTGGTTGTTGAGAAATGAGTAAATAAAAAATTTCAAAAACTTTCGTTACACACTGTATAAAAAAATGTGTAAAAATAATGGGTAGGCTTGGCCATGGTGACAATTAATATGTGCAAGAACACAGAAGAGAACATCTGCTCTCCAAAATCATCCACTATACTAAATTCTGATGCCTGTCTTCACAGGCACAACAACTGAGGAACAGCAAAATAGAGTTTAGTTTTTACAGGATTGTTTTTTAGTGGGATGTTAAAACACCTGGTTTTGGTTTTGGTAAAAAAGA